TATTGTATATTTGTAACACACACACACACACGTGTGTGTGTGTATATATAATACACACATATATACATATAAATATACTATTTTGAACAGTTTGTTAGCACATTACAGTACATATTTTGTCGTTTAACTGGGGTTCAAAACGGAATTTGTTTTTTGGGGGGGGGGGCGGTTATATTCCATTGTAAGGTGAAAAATAATAATAAAGGTATTATCTCGTAGATACCAGATACTATGTCGTATGTTTAAATGCACAAATTGTAGAATAAATGGGCCTAATTGTAGATATTATTTTATAAATAACAATTAGTTGATGTGTTCATTTCATAGTTAGGTTTTACATCAGTTCCTTAGTAGTTACTTGCTCGTCAGTTTGAAGTTTTATACTGAACAACTAGAAGTCACGTTGATGTTATTATACTTTGAATATTATACGTCAATCATAATAATAATGTACTTTATATTAGAATATACTTCTTGTGAATTATAACTTAAAGTTTATTTGGGCCATATTTTCAAAGCCTTACATCCAGTGATTATTTAACTAGTTTCTGGTACATACGAGATAAAATCTTTATATTTTTATTTTTTGATCTTACTGTTCGCCCCCCAGTGGGACAGCGATATGTCTGCGGACTTACAACGTGGGTTTCGATACCCGTGGTGGACAGAGCACAGATAGCCCATTGTATAGCCTTGTACTTAATTACAAACAAACAAACATCTTAGTGTTCCGGGCTTCCATACTATTCTCAGTAATTTAGTAACATTTTAAAACCAAAATGGTATTTTTGTAGTTGTTAGTAAATAACATATGTTTTGGATTCAAACTTGAATTTTTATAGGAAGACACCCCCCCCCACCCCCCCGTGAAACAGTAAATGACAATCACATATTCAACTTTGATGAATTCTCTGAAAGACCATCTATATAATTAAGTACGTTGCTTTCCAAAGATATGTACATAGTATGTCAAATGATTAAACTCTGAAAACATAGGAGGCATTACTCTAGTTAGTTAACAGTTCACTTGCTTTTATACTTGAGTTGGAGTAGATAAGATATTTGAGTTATTATGGAAACTTAGTATAAACTCATCAGATTAAATTCTGTCCTTCAGCTTGAATTGGAAGTAGTATCAGAGTTTATAGTGTGGAATCTACTTGCCTGTTATACTTTTACATTGGAATGTTTCAGTGAATTAAATAGTTAAGACTAAAATTAGTGAAAATACTTTATTGAACATATTTTTTTTCTATAGAATATGTGTAATGACTGGGTTGTGATGGAATTGTTTTAAGTAGGTTTAAAAGTACTTGGGTACAAAAACCTTAATTTTCATTAGTTTGATTCAAGAAATGTTAAGTGAATATCAGTGGTGTAACAATAGAGTGGCTTTAGTGGCAAAATACCAGGAGCCCACATTTTACTTCACAGTTTTCACAGCTTAGAAAATATTAAAATAAAATATATTTAGTATTTAATATGCCTGAACTCCACATGAGAAACTGAGTGTGCAGCTGAATCCCGCACTGACAAGCTGGCAACACTGATTCTGTCTGAACTAGTCGACATTTGGCAAGTGTCTCTGGTGGCTGGTGCCTGCGTTCTTCATAAATTTGTGAGCAGACAGTGTACAGAGCAGTCTCTTAACCCTATCACCACGGGTCAAAGGCCATGTCATTGTGTTTATTGACTTGCATTCAACATTTTATTGAACTACTATTTTATGAATTTATGTCAATTAATTTGGTATCAAACTGGAGAGTGTAATTCAAATTTTAGTATTATATATTACTAAATTTCTTAATTTAAAAGCAAATATAAAAAAAACACACCTAAACATTGATGCTTGTGTCACGTGGTATGTTGAATGCAGCACTGGTTCAAATTATATGTTTGTGATGTCAAAATACAAAGTCTCTAGTTTCATATGAATTAGGAACTTAAATTACCAATATTAATGAGCTAGTATCTAAAATAAGAACCTCCTATCTTTTGTATTTGCTGAGATTTCACTCCAGTACTGAATCAAACACAGTGGCACCACTCACTTCTTTCTATTTTTGGAAACAGTCCCTAATATACACTTCTGTATATAAGAAGTGAATAATGTCCCCCTAGTGGCTTTCTCAGCTTCTCAGCCATCTTCATGTGTTATGATGTCATTACACATTTTCAATACAAATCTTCATGCTGATAAGGTGAGTCTTTAGTGAGTTCGAAATTTTATGTTTTTCAAGACCCAAATACAACTCAGTTACTAAGTTTGATAAGTTATAGTGGAATTCTATGGTATTGATATAGTAATTTATAATTTTTGGTTATTTCAAATGTATATATATATATATATATATAAAACCTAAAAAAATATTTGTTTCACATTGTCCATGTGCAAAATTTTATAAGGCTTAGCAACCTACCTATCTGAACAAATTTTGCAAAACATTGAACAAAAAGGATTTTCCATTTCGAGGTGTCATGGTCAAGGTTATGATGACGGCAGTAATATGAAGAAAATATACAGTGATGTACAGAGAGAATAACTGATATTGAGTCCAGTGCAGTTTATGTTCAATGTGCTGCTCATAATTTTAATTTAGTAGTTAATGGTGCAGTAAAAGATGTGACAGAAATGGCTCAGTTTTATGATGTTCAAAGTGTATATGTTTTTTGGACTAAGTGTCAAAAGATGGGACATATTATCAAGTTTAATCTCTGAATCTGGTACTCAGCAAGGATCAACTATTAAAAGCCTGAACCCAACTAGATGGGTTGGACGTTTTGATGCAGTTTTTGCTCTCAAGGTACAATTTTGTGAAGTTCAAAAAGCTCTGGAAAAAATAATTTTGGGTAGCTCAAAATCAAACAAATGCAATAAAGCCACTGCATTTAAGAAACTCCATGAAAATTTTAACTTTGTTTGTGTTTTAGCTTTCCAGTGCAAAACTTTGCAGTCTATAAATTTAGTGTTGAAAATGCTTCAGTCAGAAACAGCTGATCTGGCTAGAGCTGCAAAGCTCATAAAGATGTGTTTGGATGAATTGTGCAACTATAGAAACCAGTTTGAAAATCTAAAAGAAGAAGCATCAATCATAGCGAGAGGCTGGTTAGTTTTCCCTGAATTTTGAAAAAAAATGGCCGACACCTGTAAAGTGACATTTTTATAAACTTTGCGAAGACAAAAGATTGACAGATCCGGAAAGTTTGTTCTGAAAAAGATTTCTTATCGCACCTTAGACTTCATCATGAATAAGCTGAACTCCTGTTTCACTTCCCTTCATGAAGTTGTCTTCACCTTCTCTGTGTTGCAGCCCAGTACATTGTATAACCTTTCAGATTTACAGCTCCTTAAGGAAGGAACAATATTTGCCAGCAAGTATCAAAATCATTCACTCAAGAAATCCTCAGCATGAGATCCACTCTGAAGAGTGAAATCAACAAAGTTTCTACAATCAGGGAATTTGCTAATTTATTGCTCATAGAGAGCCATTATCTATCAGCAAGTTTTCCTGAGGTTTGCACAGCCTTGTTATTATTTCTGATGATGCCAGTGATAACTGCAAGTGCCGAGCGGGCTTTCTCAAAAAATTATTAAAAATTAAAATTATTAAAAAGCATTGGAGAAGCAACATGAGTCAGCAACAATTACATGGACTGGCACTTCTATCAATCGAACAAGATTTTGCTCATCGGTTAAACTTTAATGAACTCATTGATCAATTTGTGGAGATGAAAGCAAGGAAGAAAGATTTTTAAAGATATTTCTTATGGAATATTCATAAGTTTTATGTAAACCTGTGTTAAACTTTTATGTTTGTATTTGCTAATACTGATATAATATGTTTAGAAAATATGTCTAGCTGAATTTTTTCTTCACGTTAAATTTCTTAAGAAGGTGATCCCTTCTTTCTCATTCATTATATTTGATTAATAAGCAGTGAACTTAATAGGCTTTACGTATTTCTTTTGCTCTATATGAACCATAAAAGTTATTAGTTTTGGAGGAAGCTCGGGGGAGGAGGGCATCAGTAATACTTTGCCACGGGCCTTTCCGCTCCTAGATACGCCACTGGTGAACATAATCACTTCTGTTTGGTAAAGATCCGGGCATGATCCTGGGTACTCGGCTCACAATCTGCAGTTTGTGAGTTCAAATCCTATCACCAAACATGTTCGTTCTTTCAACCATTGTGACACTCAATCCAACTTTTCATTGGTAAAAGAGAAGCCCAAAAGTTGGTGGTGGATGGTGTTGATTAGCTGCCTTTCCTCTAGTCTGCCTCTTCAAAATTAGGGACAGCTAGCATAGATAAGCCTCCAGTAGCTTTTCATGAAATTCCAAAAACAAAGTATGTGGTAAAGGATGCTCAACATGTATGTAAAACAAGTCACGTGTTTAGTAAGGCCTTGTTATTAGGTTTGTAATAAACAGCTGTAACTTGCATATTTCACTGAGGGAAGATTTCAACTTGATCTATTAAAGGGAAGTTTTAAAAGTGCACATTCTTGTAAGGATACTTATTTATATTTCAATACAGCCATAAAAATTGACATTATAGGTTTCCAAATATTAAGAATTATTACCAATTTCACAGAATTAGTTCCTATACAAAACTTACTAACTTAGGTGTGTCCAAGTTGTACTGTAAGTATTGAATTTATGTTTCCTTGTAATAATTGTCTACTATGGGCTAATGTTTTTTATAATATGTAACGTACTTAATCTTGTAACTAACTTAAATTACTTATTTTGACTGCTGTGCTTTAACCAAGTATTGTGCTCTGCCATATGGGAATATTTACTCTAGATTTAGATGTCTGGGCAGGAATGCATCAGATACAAAGTACAAATGTCCTTAGATCAGTCAGAATCTTAACTATGACTTTCAATAGTCAGAATGTGGAGGTATGTTTTATACAAGGATTGTACCAAATAATAGAACTTGAACTTAAATTGGTAGGTAATCTTCTTTTGTTTGAATATAAATCGATGTTCTGTGTCAAATAAAGAAAGTTTTTTTTTGCTTAGAATCTTCATTAAGATTCTCATTACTCCAAATATGTAAGTGGGTTTTCCTAATCAAGTAAAAACTAATAGCAGCAATCAATTCCAGGACTTTTTAAGTTGGTACATATTTTTCTCTTATAAAGAAGTAATTATCCTTTCTCATCTTTATGACGGTTGAGTAACATTTAAAATTTGAATTATAATTTATGTGTACTTAGTGATCCTCTTCTACTGTTCAAGAAGTTATTCACAATATAATTAAATTAGAGAATTATTTATAAAGTGTCATCACTGCATGAAGAATTTTTTGCAACTGTGGTATATTCAGGTAAAGCTGAGTTAACCTTAGAGCAATGGGATAAATCTGGTTGATAACAGGAGATTCTACATTGTATTTATTATGTTGTACTGAATCTCTGAGTAACTGAGTTCACAAGAATGAAATAAAGAGACTAGACACAATGTAATATAGAAGTAAACACAATTTGTTAATTCACAAACATAGTGTGTGTGTGTATATTTGTTTACTGACACAGAATGGTCGCTTCTACTGGATTAGGTATCTTTTTTTTTCTAAACTGCTCAGGCCAAGATTACCTACCAGACTGTCTAAATTTAACATTATTTACATCGCAGATAACTTGAGGTTTACACAGAACAACTAGCATAGGGAAGGCTGTAACCACATGATACCACCTGAAATACCATTGAAGGATGCTAGCTGTCAAATGTCTTGCATAACCTGCAGCATTACAGCCATGTTTCCCCAAAGTCAAAACAAGTGTGATCTCAATAAAATGGCAAGGAAAAAAGTCAAGTAGAATGACATCAATTTAAGCATTTGACTTTCTCTGAACATGTGTTAAGTGAAAACTGCACATATACAGAATAAATGATATATTTACAGAGCTCAAATTAATGGTGGTCCATTTGCTATTGGCCACTAAAGATGCTGGCGGATTACCCAAAAGGTTTTCCTGGGTGGTCCATGTGGCCACTAAAAAATTGGCCAAGAAAATCTAAATTTAAGTGATTATTTCCGCTATAAAATAAATAATATTTCTGTGATGAGACAAGTAAGAGAATAACAACGTTATCCTGAAAATTATTTGCAGTGTTATTCTCAAATATCAAGGCAATTTCTTGCCGTTATACAAAGGCTTATATGCATCAGCATAATGATGGGCACAGAATGAGATCTGATCTGAGCTCGCACTTGGCTGGTTCCGACTGGGTATGATATATCCGCAAGTGCATGATATTTTGAATTTTGGAACAGCTTGAAGCTTTTTGGTAACTAACATCTTCACACAGCAGGAAAACTTTTGCAACTTGTCAATTATTGTTATAGTGGATTAGAGAAGTGGTAGCTTAATGTGATGTTTTTTTTTATACACATTTTGTAGTAAAACACAGATGCTGATTAGCACAATGTTATATGCCTTTGTGTATTTAATTGCATGATAAATTTATAATGTTATTACAATTATATATTATCATTGTTGCAGTCTTTACTCAACATAATATCGATTTAATAAATATGGCTCGTTCATTCTGTATCACGTGATTAAATGCTATCACATCTGTAACACATGTTCACTGTGATCATATACACTCGCAAACCTCCAAGAGACAACTATAGTATACTATACAGTAATTAGAAAATTGTCAATCACTTTCAAGCTGTCCCAAAATGCATGACCAAACTTCAGCCGCATGCTGCACTGTATACCGTAGATCCAAGCGCTCACTCCAGACTCTGATGGGCCACATGTGATTTCTCAGGGAAAAGGTGTATATTTTTTGAGGTCATCTAGGCCCAAGAAGTGTTGCAAATGGGGATATTTGAAGCCTTGTTCCCAAGAAATTGAACTATGGGGTCTTGAAATCATCACAATCTCTTCATAAGGGAATAAAATTTTTAATTTGCTAGAAAAGGAGGTAAAATAACTTAAAGTGCATGCAAGGGGGATAAAAAAATCTGTGATTTTCCTAGGGAAAGGGATTATTGATAATTTAGGTACAAGTTTACATGTAGATACCACCAGCCCCTAAATTAGGTGTGGGAGTGGTGGATAAAGCAGGATTTTGATCTTATATTTTGGTGATATGAAAATTAGTAAAAGACATGAATCCAAGAATATTCGTGGTGGGACACAGCCTGGAAGGTGAAGACTAGAGATATGACAAATAAGTAAAGAAAAAAATCTGGTATTAATGCAACAAAAACAACAGAAATACATAAAATAAAAATCACACTGTGCTAATCACTTTCCACCTCTGTCGGCTGGACCTTGATCATTCAGCCAGATGAAGTCCTGAATAGAACGGACATTGTGATGATTTCTTTTGCAAATTAATGCAGTCATACAGTTTGAAGTACATCATTCTATGTAGTTTTTCATTTATTTTAAAACAATATTTGTACCTTATTCAGCACTGAGTGACCTAGGCTAACTTTGAGTGTTACACTTTATTGTCTTCTATTTCCAAACTTCTTCTGTTTTACTATAAGCACATGGCAAAACTTTTGGGATTTGTTGTGTTTTGTTTTTGCTTTTTAAGACAAAGTACAAGTTTCCAGAGTAGAAGTTCTGAACTCACCAGGTGTGAGATGTGACAGTTTCTTAAGTTCAAAGAGTGAACACTTCAATAAAGATTGAAAAAGAAAAGACCTATGTGCACTCATTGTCTTAGATTATTTGTCTGCAGTCCTCATTAACTGATCATATAAGTTTTTATCGTACATTGTATGCAACATACTAGATGTACACCATTTTACAGTATAATTTATTTATCACTCTGGTTTTTAGCAGGGATTTCTTTTTTTTAAATAATTTTTTTGACAATTTATCTCTAAATGAATCTTTGTTAGTACAACAAGAAAGAAAGGTCTATAGGTCATAGTATGATTCATTCCTTTATGTGTTGCTTAGTTACAAAATTAGAAAAAAAAATACATTGGCCAACTAAACTGCTGCCTGGCCGCCCAAAAGACATGTCCAGGTGTGGTCCGGCTGGCTATGAAAAAAAACTTAAGTGCAAGCCCTCATTTAGAACAATGCTATATTAGTACTAGAAAGCAGAAATACATGGTATATTTATATATATATATCACACTACTTAAATCTTCCCTTTATATGCATTTTTGTTGTTCTAACCTGTATTGATGATATTTGTAGAAACATTAGAGGAGGAAATAGTGATTTTTTATTGCTATATGAACTGGACATTGAATTATTTACATCAGATAATTTTAAAGAACCCAACAACCGAAGAACAATAAAACAACTGGTGACAGGAGAGGAATATCATTTTGGTGAAAATAAAATAGAACTTTATGTTTAAGAAGAAACTATTGATGATGATGACCACAAGGGCATACAGTGTGGATAGGAAACTTGCTAGACATGACAAAACAATTGAAACAACAACAAACTTAAAGAGACAGAGCATTTATAGAAAAAAAATTTTGAAAATTAGAAGAATGTGACAGGAATTTAAGAGAGTGGTTTTAAAAAAATAGACCTGATATTTAAAGAGGAATAAAAAATATATAAATCTGATAACTAAATCGATGAAACTGTATGGGACTACAGAAGGATTACAACAACAAGTTTCAGAAAATGCAGAAAGGCATCTACATAGTCAGTAGTGAAGCAAGGAAGAAAAGAAAATAAGTGATAGAATAAAGCATCTGGGAAACGAATTATTAAATATAAAGATTTAACCAGCCACTCCTCTTTCTGCATTTGCTCAAGAATTAAAACTGAAAATACCATCTAATACCAGATATGTAATAGGAGAACACATATGGTCTTCACCTATTACCCTCATTGCTGTGCCTCCTGTTATTAAAGAACCTTTCTGGATTACTACCCCATGATACTACTAAATCCAGTTCCAGAATTTGTCTTGCAAGTTCAGCATCTCCCAGTAGAGAAACCATTGGACTATAATTTGAAGATATCATGGTAGTCATACTGAGCTGTTTGAAATCATTTCCAGAGTGAATGGGTAGAATAATAAACAACAGACTATCCATATTGCTACCCATCTAGGCTCGAAATGGCCAGGTGGTTAGGGCGCTTGACTCACATTCTGAGGGTCGCGGGTTCGAATCCTCATCCCACCAAGTATGCTTGCTTTTTCAGCCGTGGGGGCATTATAATGTGATGGTCAATCCCACTATTCATTAGTAAAAGAGTAGCCAGGAAGAACATATATTGGGAACTGACTTCATGCAGAGACATGGATGTGAGGTTAGGCTAACTTCAAATAACTTTACTGCCCAAGAAATTCTTGTATGCTACATGACAGCTACTACACCAGAGATTGTACTTCCAATGATAACCAGGAGAGCAGTCATTGTACCAGTGAGAAGGACATGTTAAAAGTCAATTTACATCTAATGACTGGGTTGTAATAGAACCTGAAATTCCAGTGTGTTCTAATGGATTAAATATTGGTAGTACTTTTGAGCCACCTATGTATGATGTTCTGTCACTCTTGAAATGGAGTAGGTTACAAAACTACATAGGGTCTATCTGCAATAGCCATCCCACAAATGATAAACTAGAGGGAATGCAGATGGTAAATGGCACCCACTTGAGCTACTTTAATTGAAGTTAGATTTGACATGTGTCTTCAAAGTGCAGAACACTTTTTTCTTTTTCTGCATAGTGGGATGCAAATCACAAACTTGTAGAACCACAGTCCAACACACTAACCATTAGGTCACACCTGGCCCCTGAATAAATGCATCAGATGTATGTGTGTGTGTATAAGAGAGCTTTAGAAGTTGACTTATATAAACAGGAACAACAAATTCATTTTCATATTTTAGAAACGGGTACAGTCAAAGGTGAGGGTGTGTAAATTAAGCCTTATATATGACCTGTACATGTTTAGAAACAGGTTATTAATTTATGCACCTATGAGCTATAAAGTGGCACACTGAAATGTCATGGGTTATGTGCATTATAACTGACTGTACATGTAATTTTTGTTACTATCATAAACTTAGGATGTTCATTCAAAGAAGAAAGGGATGCAATCAGATTGTGATGGCATATGAACATTGAGATGATAGTATGTGTAGAGGCCATATATTTTCAAAGCATTGTTTTACATGCTTCGAATTTTAGATGAATGTGATGAGGTGACAAAATTAACAAAAAACACCTTTTTTATTCAGTGATTTTAGTTTTAGAATTATGCTTTTATGTTATGTTACTAACAGTGAAGCAGCCCAGTTTTGAAGAAGCTCTGTTTACCTTTGAAGGATTCTCGAAGTGAGTTTCACATACAGCATTATTAATTTTAATAATATTTTGGTATTAAGCAGAAACTTTGATGATATTGAAATCTGTAGTTCTGAATAAATAATAATAATAAATCAATACTTTCTACTTATTACATAATTTCTATTTTTTCCTGAACTATTGTTTACTCAATGTGTTATTTAATGAATTCTAAAAATGATGATTATTATGATAAATTAGAGAATAAAGAGCCAAGTCATGCTTTAATTCATTTATTAGTTATTACACTGTTAAAACGTTAAAGATTTGGTCAAAACATGGATGAGAAACAAAAACATACAGATGAGATTAATAACACTTACTATAAAATCAAGAATATACTCAAAAATTACAACCTTAAGAATTCATTTCAATAAATATAAACGTTTTTGATATATATTTTACTTTTATACTAGTTGAAAAGTCACACAGTGTAAAACATTAAACATTAGTAGTAAAATCAGTAGTATATGACATTAAATAGAATAATGGTGATTTTTTGCAGTATTTTACTCAAATACAAGCCATAGCCACTCTGAAGATGTACATACACAGCAAACTATTGCATACTACTTTAAATATTGAACAGTAAACCTTGTTAAAGTTATTATAACTGAATTTATAATCAAGTGTATTTAATGAGCTTATTAGACCTTGCATTAAAAAAATATTAAGGCTATTGGGTGTTTTTAAAAGAACAATTTTTATTGTAACACTGAACTGACTAAAGTCCTCTTATGTATGAACAGTATGAGGTTTCAACATTTCACATATGTTTAATGTGTAACAATAATTATTAGATTCTTTGTTCCTTTTGATTGAGATTTCAAAATTTTATGTTCAATGTGTAACAATAATTATTAGATTTTGTTCCTTTTGAATGAGATTTCAAAATTTTAAGTTTAATGTGTAACAATAATTATTAGATTTTTTTTTCTTTTCAATGAGTCTTAAAAATTTCATGTTCAGTGTGTAACAGTAATTATTAGATTCTTTATTCCTTTTGAATGAGATTTCAAAATTTCATATAACCGATTGTTTAATGACAAGTATTTGATTTTGTTCCTTTCTTAAAAAAGGTTTCAAAGTTTTGTATATTGAATGTAACAATCATTATTAGATTATTTTTCTTCCTTATGTTTTGTTTCAATTCTTATTTGATAGAGGATGTAAACAGAATGTAGGTGCTCATGCTACTTTTTGCCAGTTCTGTAATGTCTTTTTTCATACTGTCTTATTTAAATTATATCACATTATTTTGTGATAAAGGCAATTCTTATCATAAAAATATAATGATACACACCAACAACACTTTTTTAAATATGATTTATCACTCGAGTAAAATTATTATTCAAACTTCTCATTTAAGTCTCAAACTGAGATGCACTATATTCAATAGAAAGACATAGTCACACAAGTTAACAGATTAGGTTTAGCTATCAGGGTTTAAGGAATAAGTAGGTATAATAACTGAATCTGTGTATATACGTAGTATAAGCTAATTATTTTTTCAGAATATTTTTTAAGATGAAATTCTATTTTTAAGTATCAAATATTTCTAATACAAAAATATTAATAAAATTGATGTTTATATTAAATTGTGATAAATCAAGGACCAAGCTGATGGCAAACTAGTATATAAAAAAGCTCATAAAAATCAGTTAAACCTGATTCTTTTGTGTTTTACTTTTTCTGAAATTACCTAAATAAGGTACAGTTACTACATTGAATTTCATTCCAATAACTTCTTTTCACATGAAAGTTAAGGTCAGAATAAAGTTCCTTAAGCATGCTACTGTCAAATGGCATTGCTTGATCTCAGTGTAGATTAGGCCTTGATATATAAATCTATCTGAACTGAGCAAAGGTGTACTTGGATTGGGATATGCAGTGTACTTTAAAAATGACTGATTGTGGCACAATTCTGTTTCACACACATTATTCATGATTAAGCTTAATCTAAGTATAGATTTATATTTCACTCTAATTCTTGATCTGTATTTCTTGAATGTAGTTCAGAATAACTATATATTCAGGAAAGGATTAGTAAATAAATAAGCTGTAAGCAGAGCCAGGTTTATAGTAAGAAGCTGAATTAGAGAAGTAACCAGAAATTTAGTAAAAACATAATCCATTTATTTAGACAGGAGTAGAGTAAGAAAATCAAACATGAGGAATAGGAGTGTTACTTATAAGGTGGATAGCTATGAGAGTAATATGAAGAGGAGTAGTAGGTGTTACTAGATGGATAGCTATGAGAGTAATATGAAGAGGAGTAGTAGGTGTTACTAGGATTGTAACTATGGTATTTGTTGCATCGATAGTAGTCAGAACAAGAGCACAGCATGATCTTGGTCCAGAACAACTTTCCGGTCACTGGGTCTCTGTCACCACGGAGAACAGCATTGTTTTCTGCAAAGAAAGATGACCAAAAAAGGGGACATTAAATTAGGAAACTCTATGGTTGTCTGCTGTTTTTGTAGAAAATCTGGAAATGTGTATATGAAGCTGAAACCTTTCTGCCACTAATTAACTGAGAGCTAAAGAAAAATTGATACTGAGAGAACACACTTGTATGGGTGAGAAAAATCTACTAGTATAAAAATAATCTCCAAATAACTATCTTTCTTTTGTATCTCACAAGCAATCTCACAATAAGTAAGAAGTGTTAATCTTTAATCTCCTTTGAAATGAAAAAAGCTTAAGTACTTTAAAATAAATATATTGCTCTCTTTTGTTTCTTACAAGTCAGATGATTTGTGGAAAAAAACTGGAAGTGTGGAAATAAATAAAAGTGCCCATCGTTAACCTGTCGGAAGGTAGAGAAACTTAAATTAATTATTTTGGTACAAGTTCAATATTAAAGTTATTTTTTTCTATATGAAATGTGTTCTTACCACAAAAGTAATAGGAAAATTTGACTCTTATTTTTAACAATGAGATGATAACCATATGCTGCTGTAGTCATAATGATATTGCTTGTTTTCCTAACACCTTTGAAAAATGTTCCAAACTCAAATTATCTGAATTGATACTTACCAGCTTTATAAAATGTTTTCTTGATCATCTTTAATGGAGATTCATAAAATCCTTTTAATTCCATAAGCTTTTCCAGAGCAATCATGTGACACTTCTTGTCCTCGGGAAACTCTCCAATTTTTCCTTCTATCAACATCCATGAATCATTCATGATAGTGATCTAGGAAAGTATGAGACCATGGCTGTATATTTTAGGAAGTTTTTTAAATGTAATGTAAAGCTGTTAAGATTACATAGTGACTATCATTAAATGTTAATTTATGCTCTACTTATTTTATGAGATGTTGAAATTAAATAAATACAATTTACCCAACAAGCAAGAACTGCTTTCTCTAGTAACTTCTTGAAGACAGTAATGTTATGCACTTATTTCACTATGAAAACATTTATGGAATATATATATACGTGTCACTGAAGAATCTTTAAAAAAAAACATAATGTTATTAATAATTTTCATTTCCATGATAAACAGATATGAAAATGTGATTTTTGTCTTTCAGTGATAGTTTGGAGGTAAACCATATGGGAAGGGATTTTCATATACATTACAACACCTTTTGAGTTTACAAATATAGATAAGTCTTCCATTTGCTGGTATACAGACTTCAAACAGGAATATTTGAAAATTATATTTTTCTGAACTATAAAACTGACATTAATAATAAGCATATTTGAAGGTGTATCAGATATTATAGAAATATACCTTCCGATGTTCTTTTGCAACTTGGTACCAGTCATACCAGAAATTACTAGCCAGAGAATTTTCAAGTGTTGCTTCCCAGATTTCTAGCATTTCTTCTTCTCTGCTCCCGGCAGTGGCATTCTTTAAGTCTTTCTGAACTGTTGCTAATAAATCCTGAAGAAGAAGATATATATATATATTTATGATTGTATCACCTTCTGGAAAAACAACAACAATTAAACTTCAGGATATTAAATATAAAAGTAAATTGTTCAGGAATGATTAATGAGTGAAGATCATCTTTAAAATTCAGTTGACTGTGTTTCATGCTGGAGTTGTTTGATAAAATCAGCAATATATCCATAAATACAATAGTTATCTGTGCAATGATCAGTGACTTCAGACAATCTCATAATAAAAGTAAGGAGGAACTTCTTGTGTTTCATTGTTCAGGTCTTTAATAATTTTATTTCATAAACAGAAAGTTAAATATCATATAAATGTAGTTTTAACTTGTATATAGGAGAGAGACCCAGCCTATAAATTCATTTCTAAAACCTGACACTACTTAGTAACAGATAAAAGTTGAATTAGCTCACATTATGTTTACTTTGCAATTTTGAATCTTATGGTGCATGCACTTGAAATATTTTTCCCTATGTTAAGTTAACTTCTCTTTCTTTTTATTAAAAAAAAAAGAAACCTAAGAAATTATTGTTTCCTTTATTTTAATTTGAAATGCAATATCCCTTAAAATATTTATTATAAATCATTGTTTTAATGATCAACTAGAAAGAAACCTACTAATCAGAGTGTATCATGTCATTGTGATGTGTTTGTATTTTGCACTGATAATTTCATGCCTACTGAGAAAGAAATCGGTAGGATTCTGTACACTAAACAAATTGCCTCCACTGGCACAGCGGTATGTCTGCGAACTTGCAATGCTAGAAACCAGGTTTCGATACCCATGGTGAGCAGAGCACAGATAGCCCATTGTGTAGCTTTGTGCTCAACTTCAAACAAACTAAACAAATTATAATGAAATTGGCTTTTAAATCCATATATGGCATATTTTAATCTTATTAATAGTCTCATATATATATATATATATATATATATATATACTTCCACATAACAGATAGTTTAGTATTTGGTCAATAAGCATATTGTTTGGCAGTAATATATATATATATATATATATATATAACAAGTATGGATGATCTGGGGCTTTAAGTACAGAAATGTATAATAGGTTTTGTTAGTGATCAAATACTCGCAATGTGCCATAAAGTAGGAATTTATATTAAACTGAAATTGATTTGTAGTGCATACTGAAGAGATTGACACGTTTTGAGAAAAAAGTTAGAAATGAATGACCTTTATACTCCAGATAATTGTAAAAGAACTTTTTTATTTTAACACATGTTTTGCATTTATGGTTTCATCAGGGTTAGTACATACAACAGTTGTTTGTATTAACCCTAACGTAGCTGTAAAGGTGAAACACTGGTTAAAATAAAACTTCTTTTATAATTATCTGGAGTATAAAGGTCATTCATTTCTAACTTTTTTTATTAAATAAAGTTGATTTACTCTGATTTTGGATTTTTCAGTTACTTTTTCCTTGAGACTTCAATACAGAAATAAAGACTTGTGAAACAGTTGTGTAATTTATTATCTCTGCGAAAAAGCACTTTATTCAGCTTTATTACCATTGTATAATTGTATAAGTATAATATTTATCACCACTAAATTTTATTTTCATTTACCACAAGCATGCAATATTAATTTTGTTTTCATTGTCAAAGCTTTATTTTGAACTGCAAATCTTGGATTGCATTTTGTTTTTCGAACACAAACATCTGTCATGCTCACTCTTGTCAAATAAGTCCATGGTTCTGTCATTATATGAGGATTTTGTTAGATGTGAATTTGTTTACTTAGCATATCATACAACAAAAACTATCACTGGATAAAAAGAATAGAGTTGTTATATATAAGCATTATAGGATATATGTATACAGCATGTGATGTTACCATGTGTTTAGATAGCCCTGATTTTATACATATTTAGCATATTATGTATATATTTTTTATATTCTTATGATATGCTTTTCAGTGGCTTTAGAATTTATCTTGGTTGGTAAGTGTTGATTAAAGACTACCTTAGTTTTTGTAATCAAATATTTGAAATGGAAAAATATACATAAACATGATGTCTTTTAAGTACAAATAACTAGTAAAATTTACAAAAGAACCTTTTCCAACAGAAAATTGAGAAATAGTAAAGAAATCTTACCTTTATTTTGTATATAACTTTCATCTCCCCCTCAGAACTAATGTCCAGGTCATTTGGTTGAAGAGTGTGACCAATAGGCATTAAGAGTTCTGAATCAGGACCATTTTCTGATAGAAGAATTTCTATTGCTTTTTTCACTTCCATTAAGAAGTCATAAGGCAATGCTGGGTTCAAACCCCTAGCTTCTTCTACACTTCCCAACATCAGTCGTTGAATGATGTTTCTCAGGCCTTTGGGCAGATAAGGAATTGGTGTAGAAGTATATATCATAGCTTTCAATCCATTTCTTATCATTTCAAAAGGTGAGTATTCATCATCGGGGCTTGGTTGCGTAGATGAGGCCTTTTCTGTTGAGTACATGCGTGTGAAATTATCTGAATAGCTACTTTGTGTAGTTGTATGATAACTCATGCTAGACCAACTGTTCTTTGGTTCATAATTGTTGCTCATCATCCCATCTGGTTTCCCATAATGGTTCATTCGACCTCTGGGCTGATGCATGTTGATGATCTCGTAAAGATATTTATGAAGAGACCCTTCTGGTAAAACTACTTCTTCTATTATCCGATTAATTCCTGATGCCAGGATGGACATCTGAGGAGATGTAAGATTTAATACTTAATAAAATATCAAATTATCTGTACATTAGTTCCTTTAGCCATTCAAACTCATTTCTAAAATTATTTGTATCACTAATACAACATAATTTTTTTACAATATAAAATTGCTGGTGTATTTAGTTAAGTAAGACTAATCATTATTCCTTATATTGCGTAGTACTACTTTTGGGGAACATAGAGTATGTAAACATTGTTTGTTCTAGAATTGATTTAAAACAACAGATATTGGGTCACCATTGTTGGATCTAAAAATGATGTGAATTCTTAATAGAATATCAGCATTTCTTGATAAAAAAAATATCTTCCTAATAACCTCAAGTTTGTAAATACTATTTATACACAACTACTTTTCACCAACTTAAAGCTGATGAGTGTTATTCATAAAAGCACTTAATAGTAAAATATAATAAGTCAGTACTGTTAGATCAGTTTTGATGATTTTTTTACTTTGTTATTGTAAAAAGACAGAACAGTGTTTCTTGTTCTTTATTGTTTTATGATAATTTTCACATAGTTTGTTTTAAATCATTTTACATTTGCAAACAAAAAATGTGGTGACAACCATTTTTTAGATCAGCCTTAAAATAAAATGAATTTGTTGATATTTTTTATCTAGAAGTGCATTATAGTTTCAAAAACAGATTAATATCTTTACTTGAGTACTATAATATAGTGACAAAAACTAGATAATTATTGTTTTTAAATAGTTACGAAACACAGGCCATGTTTATTTCAGAACTGAGCTATAACCATATAAAATAGGTTAATATTGCTAACTTAGAACTTCTTTGTACTTGAAGTATGTGAATATACCATGAGTTTCTATCTTCTTATAATATTATAGTAATTAATCTGAACTTATTCTTTGTTTGCAGGTTTCTCAAAACACATGGTCAAGAAAGCCATTAAGGTGAATTCATTCTAGCTGCCTTTGTTCCTTTATTCCTGAGTGGATAATAACCATTCTGCCAGAGGGAAGGGAGGTGATATTGCTGCAGTATTGCATGTTGTTCAAGGTCATTGTCAGCAGTTTCCTTCAGTGGTCAATGAGGTGATATCTAGAGGTTATGTTGCAGTGAGAACAACTAATCATGTGGGTAGTACTAGTCACTCAGGGTAAATGGAACATTTCTTGCAAACTAAGGAATATTGGATTTAAACAGTCTAGAACAGAATCTTGAAGAAGAAGAAGAAGCAGCAGCAAGAATCTAGTAAAATCAACAGTCCCATGTAAGAAAAAGCAAGTACACACAGACACTGTGTTTCTGTTTAATGTAATAATAAAGATTGCTAACTTTGCATTTTACTTTGCATCCAGTCCCATTATTCCATTTGACATCATAACTCAGTTAATAAGAGAGCTAGTATTACTTCACAGTCAATATCTCGACCGAATCTGAAGTTATTAAGCAGATCTATCTATTAGAAAGGTTTGCTCAATTTAGCTGAATATGTCACATAGTTACAAAAGTTATGCCATTATTCATTATTTTTAAGCTACTTCTTACTTCAACTGTACACTGAGCTAGAATCAGTCTCATTGGTAATGAAATGTGTTTTCTTGCATGAAAGATGGTTGCCATTTCAATTGTGATGTTACAAGATAGACAGTTGTCTTTAATTGCTCAGCAAATTGGGTAATAGCATGGGGCTTCCTTGCACCTGTGTTCAAGCAGGAGTGGGCTGTGTACAGCCTGGGTTTGTTTATGTATAGTTTGTTTTTATATTTAAAAGCCAAGCTCTTCCCTACTATTCAGTTTTGTAGGTTTTCTAGAAAATGTGTTTGAGAACATTATTATAGAAGTAGATTATTTGTTGAATTTATGCATTTCTTGAACAAATACTCAAAGTTTCCCTGTTATCATAGTTTCTTGTTTGAGGGTTTTATCTTGAACTTTTCTTCTTAACTGGCAAGAGAGAATTAATAAAGTTTCTATCACACTGTCACTCTTTCCAATTCTACACACACTTATCAAACATTTGCACATGTTTTGTATTGTGTCTGTGTTTTATTAATTATTATTTTTTTAATTTTGAATTTCTGTATCATCTCTTTTTAATAAGAAACTCAATTGGAGTAAGGCTGGAACAGACACATACTCCATAATAAAATATTAGCCGTATCTCCAGTTTTGTGAGTCTTGCCCTTTTATTCTAAGGGAATTAAGTGTAACTATGAATATTGTATTCTAGGTTAATATTGTTGTATTGGACACTGATTTATAGTAGTATTAGGTAAGACAATATTATTGTGTTTATTACAACATAATAGTGATATAAAGTGGGTCAATATAATTATATCTGCACTACTTTCTAGTCAAATAGATAAGTACTGTTCTTTCTAGCAGTACTTAATAGTAACATGAAATTACATTTTCCTTCTTTATTATAGTTAGAAACTTCTGTTTCTGTATTTATATGAATTGATATAATGCACTACCTTACATTGTCACTGAAAAAGTGATAGTAATAATGCAATGAGCAATAAAACGATTACAAGGATAAATGGAACTTGTAACCTTATAGTTATAATAATGTCTCTCACTACCTTGTCTCATTTTCAAATTCAATGGACCATAGAATCAAAAATGCTTCAGTCTCTTACCATGGCTAGACTTCAAAGAATACATTTGGATGTTTCACTCCAATGGAAAGACATTGGATGAATGGAAGCTAATACAGTTAAATATGCAATTGCAAGTTGGCTATGAGTGACTGAAAGTGTCATTATTAGAATCTGGAACTATTTCGAATCCAATGATAACAAAAAGTAGATGACCACTATTTATCGGTTACAGAATGCTGTAATCATACAATATCTGCTTTGAAATTGAATCACATGTCCTCAGTGTGTGTCAATATACAGATGATTAGAAACAGGCTTCACAAGGCCAGCCTATATTCTAGCAACCTAAGAAAGCATTGCACTCGCAACAAAGCACAAAATAGCTCCCTGGAAATGGTGCTAAGAGCATATCCAGTAATGAATAACGTATAGCCATATTCTTTTTATATATGAATCTCACACTATGCAGCCAGGTAGGAGGCATGCACGAAGTTGGAAATAATCTTGTACCAGACAAAATCCCATTTCTTACAATTGTTTGATGCATTCATGCATAAGGTAGTGGTAGAAGAATAGTGTGGGTAGGAATAAGCATTTATGGACACCTAACTTCTATATACTACAGAATGATACCATTAACCGTTACATTAATGACTTATTTACATACCATTTACTACTGGTGAATTCCACACATTACAATCTGTTGAGTAATTTTATGTTTTTGCCTATTGCAATACTCGGTGTAAAAAAATTACCAAACAATATTAACAGTATTTTTTTATTTACATGTTTTGTCACCTGTATGTTATTATAAATCCTGTAACCAAACAAAGACAATTAGATGTATAAGTAGTTTTAAAAAATGTGTTCAAAAAATCTAATAGTAATTCTAGGGTTGATGCACATATTATAGGGACTACATCCTATGACCCATTGTGCTGCCATATGGTGATACAATTGGCTCTGATTTAAGTTTCACAGGTGATAACAACTATTTTTACTGTGTTAAAATAATCAGTGTATTTCATGAAGAAGAGATTAACCAAAGGAGTAACTGCACATTCGCCAGACTTCATTCACATCAAACATGTATGGGATACTCTGAAGAGATGGGTTATATCCCATTAAGTTGCTCCATGCACTAAAGGTGTTTTAAAAACAGCTCTTTCAAAGGTGTGATCAAGGACATTTAGTAATTTATTATAAACATACTCATTTTAATCCAACATCATTGGCGCCAGACTGCCCTTGCTGGACATGTTGACCATAATCCATATTGGAGTAATATGTCATGAATTGTAAAGATATAAAGCCACCTCTACAGCATGTTCATAAAAGAGCATAGGTTGATCAATTATACAGTTTTCACATCACATGCTAGATCATCTTAATGATTTATGTTAACAAGGATTAAGGGGAACAATTAAAGTTATTTTATAATTGTGATTTTCTGCCTTGTCACAACTAAAGTGTTATAAGTTCCAAATATTTTTGAATTGTTTTATGCAGTGTAATTACACATACACACAAGCATTAATATCATCATATAAAAATAATTTTACATAGGTGTCAGCCATTGATTAAATATTGTTAAATATATGATAGTTGAAAACTGCCAGATTTTTACCTTAAAAATTAATTAAATATGTAAAGGTAAAATTTTCAAAGTTTTTGTTGCAGGTTTATTGCATTTTGTCTTGTTGTTGAGAATTATATCTCAGTGACTAGGTGGTATAGAGGTTTGTACAACTTGGTATGAGCTAGGGATTAATCTACTCTTGAATGCAATAAGAAAGATCACTATTATAAGTAACTTAAGATAGTAGTATACTGCACCAGGACCCAATTTTTATTCAATGATGAAATATCTTGCCATTCCATTCCAGCAGCCAGTGTGTTCTTATACAAGGACAACAGAATCTAGCCAGCTTGTGTATTGAATACTGTAATACAGTCTGTGTTTAAGGAGATATCAACACTGTATCTGTGTGAATAAATAACATTTTTATTTCACACTTTGTCTCATTTACCTCCATGCTGTCCATGTTCATTTTATTCTTCTGCAAACATTTCCTCTCAGGCTTTCTACTTACATGTTAGTTGAAAGTTTTGCTTTTGAATACTACAAATGCACTTGATATACCAAGCATTTTCCTGAAGATATATTTTATCTACTCAAGGATGATATGCTACTTAATTGACTCACTTTCAATGAGTGCTTGGGTTATAAAACTTCTTTAATCGTTTTTTAACTGCCTTTCTTGATTTCACATGTACTCTGTTATTGGTATCGTAGGGTATATTTCGTTATCACCACAGGCCTAGCATGGCCAGATGGTTAAGACAATCAATTCGCAATCTGTGAATCACGAGTTCGAATCCCCACCCTTTCAGTTGTGGAGGTATTATAATGTGATGGTCAATCCCACTAATCATTTGTAAAGAGTAACCTAAGTGTTGGTGGTGAGTTCCTTCCCTCTAGTCTATCACTTCAAAATTAGGGATGGCTAGTTCAAATAGCCATTAAGTAGCTTTGTGCAAAATTCAATAAAACAACAACAAAAAGAAATCTTTTCACCACTACCATCACTGTGTGGTATGCAGGCATACTACATACTTTCTATACCCATGTTTAACAAGATTTTTCTTGCATACAGTTATATGTAGTTTAACACAGAATGTCGGGCATGAAAGTCATATAATTTCTTTTGCCTTAGTTACCTATTATCCTGGGTCATTCACTTGTGGTGTCACATGTGCTTTATCATGGGGAAGAGTTAGTTACCTAAGGCTGAACATCCTGTTTATAAGTGGATAGTGATATTTTCCACTGGCAGATAGAGTAATGTCCTAAGGATTTAACCTCTGTTATTTACTAATGGGAATGATTAACTGTCACATTGGTAGAGCATGCACCTGAGAAGAATAGCATTACTGTTTCATGTACATAATGCTATGTTTTCTCCATCTGTAACATTTGTTCTTACAATTCTAATGGATATAATAAGAGATTCAGTTATCCTTAAAGCTGTTACAGATAGACGTTCACTAAAGGCACTCATTATTTTGTGAACCCAATAAAGATTGTTTCATTTTATTACATGTTGTGTCCCATGTCTTTTATTTCTTCAATAAATGCAATTTTTAATGATTCGATTGACTTACAAACTACTAAGAGGAGGCGGTTGTCTGAAAGAGTAGTTACGTCTCAGATAAGTTATATCCTGGACATCAAACTTCTGCCACTGCTGCAAAGATCTATGACTCGTTTGTCATTACGACTGCAGACACAGGAAGAATAACTTCCAAAATTTCAGTGCACAGGAATGCCTGGTGGTTAGGAGACTCAACTCACAATCTGTTGGTTGCAAGTTTGAATCCTGTCACTGAACATGCTAGCCCTTTCAGCTGTGGTGGTGTTATAATGCAACTATTCGTTGGTAAAGAGTAGCCCAGGAGTTTGTAGTGGATGATGTTGACTAGCTACCTTCTCTATAATCTATCACTTCAAAATTAGTTGCCAGAGTTCTGAAACAAAACATTCTTCATACTTTGCATAATGCAAACACTGGAGTCCAATAAGGTGTTATATGTATTTGTATTAACATGGGATTGCACGTCTACTTTTAAGTAATGACAGTAAGTGGTAGTTTAAACATTGAATGGTCATATTGCCCAAATGGAAAAGCCAACCTAAATAGGATAAACTCTAGCATAGTTTCCACAAGATATGTGGAGTGGTTAAGGTCTGTGTTAGTTCACATGAACAACTGGGAAAGACTTTCACATGGCAGAAGTGATGTTATGATAAGACAGTTAAGGAATGAACATTTCAGCATGGAGAGTGAGTATAGTTTTGTTATGTGCCAGCATCATGTAAGTATTTCGGCTATGGCTGGACAGGTCCTTATCTTTTACATTAAAAAATCGGTCTGTTGACATGCAGGTTGCAACAGTCACGTGAAACATGTCAATATGCTGATGCCATGTGTTACAGATATACCTGGCTAGACAGATATGCGCTGGCGAGACTAAGAATGAGAAGTCGATACTTCCAACTTGGAGGATGATGAGAATGCTGTTTTGTACCATTTCAAGTCAGCAAGTGATGAGGAAGAGTTTGAAAGTACTTATTTGGCTATACAAAATGAGGAAGCACCTGGAGAAGATGTGAAAGATAGTTCTAGCAGTTGATCAAGATGCTGATGACTTCCTAATTGCTGTGGTTGAGATTAACTGCTAGAACATCAGCTAGGACATTCACTGATTGGAAGGCAGTAGCATTCTGTGTTATCCAAGCTGTTAAGTAGTATTTTGATATGATCTGTATCCACTAAACTGTATGATGATCACATGATTGTTATTGGAACTGAAAGGGCATTGTGACCCTTTCTTTTGGAGCTATCCAGTAGTTCAATATTCAGAGGTATTCACAGGATGTCGGGTGGTAACTACTCGATTATTACATAATTAGGATAATGTTAATAGAGGTAATGCATAGAACATCAAAATTTGCATGACTGATGACTATTGCTAGAAGTTCAAAAACTTAGCCAAAATGGCATTCTGACCCTTACTTTCAAACTTATCAAGTGATTTTCTGAGGCTTTAATGTCAGCGACATTTCTCAAGAATTAATCACTGTTTACTGGATTAGCAGAAGCCTTTCAAAGTAAACTACACACAACTTAACAGACTCATCTTCAAAACACTTACTATGTATATAACTTCACCAGATGCAGTGAAGAAGTTGTGTTCTTTCTAAGCAGGGAGCGTGAATCAGATTGTTATGAATCTAAGTGGAAGTCTTTGTTTCATTGGATTTGACTGCACTTATTTTTCTATGACACCGACTAAATTGAGTGTTGGAGCTATCTAGGATAGTAAGTGTGCTCTACAGTGGAGTATTGTATTTAATCTAGACTAGTCTCAGCATCTATTGATATATATATAAATATACTGTAGTGGCAAAACAAATATCAATCCTGGTTGAAAGAATATTTACCTAAAAGTCTTAGTTTGGATGAATTCTACCTGTTGATTTTAATAATCCATAGATGGCAACACACTACAGTAATGCAGCTATCGAGACATATTTTTTGACTAATGTGTATATTTGATTAACTGGTTTTTAAATTTTAAAGTTAGGGGCAATCTGGAGGTAGTAGGGAGAAGAACGGTGTGGTACGAAGGCATACTACGTGTTTTTAACCCTCTTGTTTAAGATGAAAAATCACTTTTCGCCAAATTAATTTAATTCATGATGTAAAAATTGGTGTGAAGCAATCTATCAATTTAAATAGCATCTAAACCACTTCTGTATCTGTCATATCCCAGCTGGCCTGAAGAGCACTCGTATTGGAGGGTCGGCATGGCCAGGTGGTTAGGTGCTTGACTCGCAATCTGAGGGTCGCAGGTTCGAATACCCATCCCACCAAACATGTTCAGCCGTGGGGGCATTATAATGTGACGGTCAATCCTATTATTTGTTGGTAACAGAGTAGCCCAAGAGTTGGCGGTAGGTGGGGATGACTAGCTGCCTTCCTTCTAGTTTTTCACTGCTAAATTAGGGACGGCTAGCGCAGACAGCCCTCGTGTAGCTTTGCGCGAAATTCAAACCAAACATTCACTCGTATTGGGCAAAAGACCTCATCGGCACTAGATATATGAGATATAGTGTGTTAATGACACTATACTTTCACATGGAAGTTCTAATTCTAATCTTAAAATATTTTTGAATCATTCTTGACATTTTTGAATTCCATATTTTTACTCTATCCTGCTACTTTAAAAGTGTTCAAGTAATTTTTATCATGTTAGCAATTTACTAAATCTAAGTAAACCGAGAGGAACTACTAATTGTATTTGTTCTAAAACGTCATTATATTTTTTACGTGTAATTGATTCTACGTACCATTTTCAACTGAGATTGTTGCCACTCTGACATGTCATCTTTCATGGAACTCATAAAGGCTTGTTTCAGCTGTAATGCCAAATTTCCGATTCTTAGAAGAAGAGGTTCTTCATTAGCCATAATATCAATTTCACATTGCCCCTGCTGCTCCATTATGTCAGCCAGAACTTCGGTCACTCGTTCTAGCCATATCAACTGGTTCATATCTTTCATTACATCAGATTTTCGGACCTTCTTAACTGATTTGTCTTCACGCTAGAAAACATAACTTGAAAATCACTAGACCTACCTTCACGCTGGAACACATACCTTGAACATTTTTGTTTAACTACACTGTGGAAAATGTACCTTGAAATTTACATGCTGGGAAAATATACATTGAAGGTTACTGGATCTTTAATGAAAAATAATAGGTTTTTGTTCATATCAAAAGTTGCATGTCAAAAAATAAGTTAATAATACATTTTGTTTTCAAAAGATATTTTACAAGGTAAATAGGTCTAACTGAAAGTTTTCATTTTACGTCCTTTCGTGACAATGCCTTTTACCAGGACAACTCAAAGGTGGTATTGGTGACGAAACGAATTGCCAAGTGTGCTACATTACCCGTTGGATTAAGTTTTGTTTCGTTGTGACACTCACTTTATATAGCTAAATATAAATACATTTGTAGTTAATTTTCAAGTAAACAAATATTACCGTTCAACAACATGGCAATCATCGAATAATAGAGAAATTGGTGTATTTGTATTACTTAGACGACAAGAAAAATAAAAGTAACTCACCAAGTACTCGTATATTGTTACATCTGTCGTATAGCTAGGTTTGTAGGTAATCCAAGCCGTGTTTCCACCTTTCCAGAAATCCCATTTCACTTCACAGTATGGGTCGTATTGGTCTATGAAAAAAAGGGCATTTATTGTTATCACAGTAGGGGCTGTATTGGTCTATGAAAGAAGGGCATTTATTATTGTTATCACAGTAGGGGTTGTATTGGTCTATGAAAGAAGGGCATTTATTATTGTTATCATAGTAGGGGTTGTGTTGGTCTATGAAAGAAGGGCATTTATTGTTGTTATCTTTGCTGTTATCACAGTAAGGGTTGTATTGGTCTATGAAAGAAGGGGATTTATTGTTATTATCCTTGCATTATTTTATTTATATGTTATCCAGAAATAAATTGCAAACACACAGTTGTACTAAGAGTGTTCTTTGATTTGTTGAGTCAGGAACCATACACAACTTATTTGGTAAGACATATCAAGTGGTATTCCCTCATATTATTTTCATACAGAGGTCAGAAGTCTGTGTTTGAAACAACGTTGTACAGACTTAGTGATATAATTGCTTTTTTTTATGTGTTTTTTTTACATCGGACTTCAAACTTTATTACAGCTTTTAATCGAATAATACCGAAACTATATCTATGTAGTTCACTGCATAAACACAGATTAAATCTAAAAACTTAATCTATTTTAAAAAATAGTATAATTCCAAACGTAGATTATCCTATTATCCTCTTGATATTATTTTCGTTTCCAGGATATTGTTTCTGTGATCAATATGGAAGTGAAACTTAGCGTTACAGTAAACAAAACAAAAAATCTCAAGAAATGTCTGGATATCCTGGACACTAGAAAAACTGCTCATGTCATCAGATGTTGCTGTTCTTATTTTATTAATCAATGTAAACTTCCGAGCAGAGCAAATTATTAACTTAAAATCTTAATATTAGATTGTATTTATGATTTTAATGTTCCTGAAGTAGACAGAACATACCAAGATCCATTATTGAAATAAAAAAGTGTATCTTATTAATGTTAGAAATATATATATGTTAATATTTCATGTAGTCAGTTTCTCACACAGTAATGGTTAGGATATTTATATTTAAAATATATGGGATGTACTTAAAACCGGACGTTCGACTATACCTGAATCCAGTTGTCCATGCTGGTGACTTACTGTCACTTACGACAGTACTTGAAGCTAACAACTAGGGTTTAGTGTTACTTTAATTAACAGTATTGGTTAGAATATTTAAGGCATGTATGTTTCTATTATTTATCATTATTATATTTTAAGTATAGTATGCGTTTTTTTCTTTTATTATTATACTTTTATTATAAAGGTTGTTTTGCATTGTTAGCTTAGTATATGGATTGAGTACTACATTGTTTAAATTGTTGTAAATAATGCGCCACTGTAAAGTACCAGTATTACAAGTTTAAAAAATCACAACCACTTTGTAAGTTCCTATCATTGACGGTAACAAAAAAAGGATATTCATAAACAATAAGACAGTTTTAAAAGAAACCGACTTGAAGTTAACAACCTTACAGACATGAAAAATACATTTTATGTTACTGTGGAGTATCCAAGTAACAGAATGCGTATATATGTAAGTGGGACTTTCTACAGAAGTTGAGTACTTTATATTAAAGCTAATATCCGTTTAATACTCCAGCTATTTTAAGTTTGCAACAGTTGAACAGTTATGTCTGGAACTACACGTGGCTTGTGCCACTTTTCCAGAGGGAGATGCTTCTTGAATATGTTCTGTACTGTTATCTGAGGCATTATTGTTCTTGTATTCTCATTTTTCACAAGACGCCACACTTTGTTTACCACACCTGGAGTACGACTTATTGCAGATCTAGTTTTGGATGGTCTTGGTGGCCCAAGCTGATTCATATTCCTTTGATTTATATGCTACTAAGTACAAGAGATATACCCATCTTGGAAATTCTAGAACCCCGATATGAACACATACAAATTGTACCACTTCACTGCTAACTTCCTTTAAAAGTAATGGAAGAAAAATATCTTGATGTTCTGGTCGATTAGTCTCTTAAGCCATCCCAGCAATGTGCTGTTGCTGGTGGCAGGACAAATAGGATTTTAGGTTGTATCTACAGAAATATTGAATACAAGTCTAATGATATTATAATGTCATTGTATAGGTCACTGGTTAGGCCACATTTGAAGTATTCTATTCATTTTTGGACACCTTAACTCAGAAAGGACATTGAATTGTTGGAAAGGGTTCAGAGGATGGTTATTAGGATGATATTTGGGACTGAAAGGTTATCATGTGAAGATAGTTTAAGATCTCTGAACTTGTTTTCTCCTGAAAAACAAGAGTTAGAGGGGATCTGATTAAAGTGTTTAAGATTGTTAAGGGAATTGGTAGTGTTGATGCATCATCTTTATTTTAATATTTAATGATGAGAATGATGGGAGAAGGAAACACAAGTATAAATATTGGCAGGGTAGGAGTCATCTTCAGCTGAGACAGCTTTGTTTTTCTAACAGGGTAGTTGGCCTTTGGAAGAGGTTGCCATTGAATGTGATGGATGCAGTTAATTTAATGGAGATAAAGGAAAAACTTGATAAATAGTTGAATGACATGTACTGACCTTGAGGTGTTTTTTTAAGAGTTTAGTTTAATTTAATTTAGTGGACAGAAGAGCCTAGATGAACCAAAAGTTCCTTGCTGTCCGTTAATATTATGTTAACTTTATGATCTGAGTCCGCCTATATATTACGTCGAAAAAGGTGATGGAATCACACTACCTATAAACGCTAAATAATGTTCCACTGCTACTTTATATCAGCTGTGGTTGTCACATGACTTATTGATATCTTGTTTGTTTTTGAATTTCGCGCAAAGCTACACGAGGGCTATCTGCGCTAGCCGTCCCTAATTTAACAGTGTAAGGCAGCTAGCCATCACCACCCACAGCCAACTCTTGGGCTACTCTTTTACCAACGAATAGTGCGATTGACCGTCACATTATAACGCCCCCACGGCTGAAAGGGCGAGCATGTTTGGTGGGACGGGGATTCGAACCCGCGACCCTCAGATTGCTAGTCGAGCGTCTTATCCACCTGTCCATGCCGGGCCGTTATTTATATCTATACTCAAAATCGTTTTGCTATACTCTTCTCTATCCTGCAGTCCGAAATCAATTTTTGGCAAATCATTAAATCGTTTATAAAAATAATTTAACTTAATATCATCTACAAAGTTAAAAATCTATAAATGTGTTCTTACTGGTTAATATCTATGTGAAAAATAACAAAACAATATCTAAGGTAGAAAATGTCAGTCCGGATTCTTTTTGTAACTAATTGCTGGGTTTGATTCTAAAATAGCACTGAATGTATTTCAACAATTTAATCTTATATACAAAAATGACCTCGCAGTGTAAACTACTTATACCCACAATGATTTTAAACCAATGAAAAAATCCTAGTTCCGTTTTCTCCTCGACAAGATAAACCTAACAACGAAACATTTATTTATTTGTTATTTAATTTAACCAAAAATAGTTAATAACTTTGGAACCTACTCTTAGAAAAGTACTTATCTAAACATCTGTTCGAAATTTGAAAACAATATTTAATGTAAAACATGTTTGTTTCTGATCAATTAATGGTTTGGGTTTTTTAATTTATCTCAATATATGTTCTTTCAATGCAAACTACTGATTTTCACAATCATATTAAACCATTAAAACGTGTTCATGTAATTTCATCACAAACTTCCTGTAATTTCCCAGTCTAGTCTTGTACTTTAGAATTGTTTGTTTGTAATTAAGCACAAAGCTACACAATGGGCTGTCTGTGCTCTGCCCACCATAGCGTCGTAAGTCCGCAGACATACCGCTGTGCCACTGGGAGGCTGTACTTTAGAAATGTAAATTACAGAGGAAAAGACTTCGTTTGTTTTTTAAGACCTCATTATTACTTAGAGAGTTAACAGTTTGTAAATTTACTCTTATAAACTACTTAACTCTGTACAGAATATAAAAACAGCATCTAATGTGGAACATTCGCGTCCACATCTTCTTTCTCGCCAGTTAAACGCGCCCCAAAAAATACACATAAAACATAGCAGTCATCAATTACAGAACATAAATAGAATAAGAGTGTGAAAATTAAAGGTTCTTATACAAACATGGACACAAACGCCGTTAGTGCACAGTGAAAATTAATATGTTTAAATGAACAAAGAACGGCAGCCATATTTTTTCTATGTAAAGTTTTCATGAAAACATTGAAACTACATCACAAACTTCTGGTTTTGTGTACTTTCAGTGATGGTTAACCATAAAAGCAAATATTTAATAAACTAATATAAACATGAAAAGGAATGGAACAGGTGTAGGAGAGCAATGAGTCAGTCATCCAACAAATACTTCCATTAACTCTGTTGTTTATGTTTATAATCCTGGGTGAATAATATTTCTTCCAATATTATGAACTGACAAAGCATATACTGTCAAAACATTCTGATCTCTTCAAGTAAAAGTAACTAAAATACACTTTTAACTGCGAAAAAATATTTTTCTAACTAGACTTCCACCAGTATATGTAATTAACTTTTGTTTTTGTTGTTATGCACAATGCGTATTCTGTGGTCTGCTCACCGCGTGTATCAAAACCCACTTTTTAGCGTTATAAATCATTAAACTTGCCGTTGAACCGCCAGGGGGCTAAATATATTCATATACTCAAATCATAAGACTGTGTTCAGATCGCGGATTTAGAATTTTCAAGACGGTAATTTACCTTGTACTTAATAGCATTGAAAAACAAGGAAATATGGATGAACTTGGGAAACTTGGACCATCCAGAAAGGGACCTGCCACAAATCGTGCTCCAAACATGGTAAGCAAATTTTGGCGTTTTGTAACTGGTGAGAATCGACGAATACAAAGATTAGTGGCTAAAGCTGTCCACGTGCCCCTGGAAATAGTACGCAACATAATCAAAAAAGATTTCCTTTTGGAAACGAAGTTAACAGAGTGTGGGTTCACCAAGATAAAGCGTCCAGTCGTACCTGTCGTTCAACTGTCGCATACGTCAAACAGCTGGAGAATGAAACGAATATTCATGCTGTTCCCTACGAAGACATACCGGTCAAGTCGAGGGTTGCAACGTCAATGGATTTTTGTACAGAGTTTAAATTAAATACATTTTAAGAGTAATTTTACAAAGTGTTAACCTTCTAAGTGATATTAGGATATAAAAAATAAAAAGCTGTTTTTAACCTCTAGTGGTAGGCTTCTCGGTCCTATTTACGATAAAAGTTACAAGAAGATGTGATGGCATAGAAACTTTTTTAATAATTCAATACCATGACAATATGAATAGGAATATGAGTAGCTCACATTGAGGGGGAAATTTTATATGTAGGATTAGTTACTGACAAAAATTATGTGTTTTCTTAAACTCAAATAATTATTTAGCGAAAACATGATCCTGACTAGAACTTTACGTTCTAGAAATCTTTTTGATATTTCGTATATAGCTTGGGCGATATAGTTTTTACCTTTACATTTAAACGTTGTTACTAAAATCATAAAGAAAGAAAGTCTCGTAGCCTCTGTTGTTAAGCTTTGTTGTTGGAATTCTTCATAAACGTTAGATTGGAAAAATAAACAAAGATGTGAGATACTAGGCTTATGAAACTTATGCTGACAGTAATTTTTGTATGTATGTTTAGTTATAAAGATAGATTAAACCCTTTTTAGACCCAGACCGTTAGTTGATGAGAAACAGGACCAGAACGGGAATCTTACACATTGGATATCGTTTTGATACTCTGTACATAGGTTGAGTTAACTAGTTTATAAAAGCTTATTTACAAGTTGTTAACTTTCTAAATGAAAGTCATTTAAAAATAATATCAAAAAAGTGTTTTAGTTACTGGTTGCTTGTTTGTTGTTAAGCGCAAAGCTGCACAATAGGCTATCTGGGCTGTGCCCGTCACTGATATTGAAACCCGATTTTTAGCGTTATAGGTCATTAGACTCGTCGTTGAACCACCATAGGGAGTGGGGTTTAGCTTTTGTTGGGGAGCGTTGTAGTTGGTTCCCCCTGTCGTTAAGGTAAAACTGAGCTTAGAAGTTACATGAAGATGTGTTGGTAATGGAAGAATTTTTCTAATGTTTTATTAGGCTTGGGGATCTCAATACTTAACACTGAGAGAACATTTTGGTGTAAGATTAACTGCTGAGATCAATTAAACTTTTTTTTCCGTTTAAATCATGCATTAAATTAATAAGAAATAGGACTCGGACGTGAACGTCAGAAATTAGATATCGTTTTGCCATTTCATATTCGACACAGATCAGTAGTTTGTAAGAATATCGTTAGAAAGTTGTTAACTTTTCTAGGTGAAATTCAGTAAAAATATATGTATTAACCACTGGTGGTTGGTTTCGTCGTTTGGTTGCTTTATTTATTATTATTATACATTTGAGTAGTTCACAGTTTTATTTGTTTGTTTGTAGTTAAGTGCAGGGTTACACAATGGGCTATCTGTGCTGTGCCCACCATGGGTATTAAAACCCGGTTTTTAGCATTATTAGCCTTCAGACTTACCGCTTTGCCACTGGGGGCGTAGTTTACAGTGGGAAGACATTTTGTAGCTATTGATTTTAAGTTAAAAAATCGGACCCACTTAGATAAAGATACGCACATATCTAAATATATTGTTACTTTGATACTTCACAGTAAAAAAAATATATATATCTTAGAGTCAGTGATAACAATTTTTAAACAATTTATCTCGCTTTTTCTATTATAATTCTGCGTAGATTTACGATGCAAATCTAGTATATTTAGATATTTCTTCTTATGACTATTTTTTATTTACTCTTAAAAAAATGAACAATTATTTCTGGTTTAGAATTATTAAATTTGAAATTCAATAGCTTAAAAATTCTCAAATATGATGGTTCATATATTGTAGCTGTATTTCAAAGGCATATTGACTATCTTAAATTATCTAAGCCCCCTCCTCCAACCTCTACACTTTTTGCCGACTTTAGTTCCAGCCCTCCTTTCTCCTCTCCTTTGAGGTCTTTCTAAAACTTTTTGCCGCGCTGCACAGAAGTAATTTAAAATACTATTTTGATTAACATTGTGGTAACAGCTTGATCACCATTATACTCTTGCCGTTTATTGCTTCAATCTGGTCTGGATCCAGCTGAACGTCCCGTTTTCAGTATATCCCCTTTTTTGTTTTGCTTCGGCAAAAATAGTCAACTATTCGAAAGTGCTTGAGATTCTGGGTCTCTTTTAATTTACTTGGTTTTATTTTGTTAACCTTTATACTAACTATTTCATCATGGATAAAAATTAATGTTACTAGAATGTATGATACAAAAATCGTGTGTTCGGTTTGTGTTGTTATCTTGAATAGCGAGCGACACTGAACGACCTATGCATTGACTGATAAAGAAACAAATACTGAAACAAATACTCACTACAACACTTCACTATCATTGGTAGGACAAAATAATTATTTTTTCTATTAGCTTCCATCAAAGAATTTAGAGGGTCCAGGGCGATGATGAGATAAGACTGATAGGAGGGATGGGGTTTTTGGTCACTGAACAGGACAAGTTGAGTCATGTCTAGTTCCACTGTCTCTCCCGGTGGGATGGCATCAGTCAAAATATCCCCAAAGGTGTTTACTAGACGATTACCCTTGTGAAGAATGATATCTCCAATGCTGTATTGTAGTGATTTAATGTCATCTTGTTCAACACCTAGTGTTAGCATTTTATCGTTGTTATAGGCACGAAGAAAGGCCCAAACCTGCAATGTCTTCATGCAAGTTCTTTGACGAAATAAAGATCTTCCATTGTTTTTCACCATAATCTAAAAAATGAATATATACTTATTTGAATTCACGGATTGTTTTCATGTTACGTTAGCTGAGTCGCCTTATTGTTATTATATTCACAAAATGACCAAAGAAACATTTACAATTGCTTCAGTTATTTACCGTTGAGTACTTAGATCATATAGAATGTTTAACCATTCTGTCTAATGTACAGAATTACTAATACAATTCTGACTTTGTTCTACGAGATGTTCTTACCTTGAGCCCACCAGGAATTTGGTTCGTGATCGGTTTATCCAGTTCGTAAAGTGGAAAGCTGTAAGCATTGGACCAAAAATTGTCGTAGTCTGTGAATTCTATGGCTGATCCATTGGCTGACTGGACCATTAACATGAGATCAACATCTAAAATAAGTAAAGATACTATTTTTTTATTCATTACACGCTTACTTAATATCTGAAAAATTCACAGCTTTAATAACTTAAAAAAAACAACAGATGACTAACTTATATGTTCGTCTGTTACTGATCCTGACAACAACTAATATACAAATAAATTATCTTAAGTATTAACATTTACTGTTAAATTAGACAACTCACTTTAGTAAGAGATTTAGTAAGATTTATTGATGAATTAAATCAAAACTAACACTGATTTGTATCTCCAAACCTTGAATTTCCCTTTTTATTATATGACACTTTTCTGTTTTCGTATTTCTTTGTATTCACAATGGTCTTTGTTTATTAAAGTGTCTATTGAGAAATATCAAAGGTAGTGCATGTTTCTGTGAATTTAACATTTTTCTAAAAAAACAAAAGATTGGAAAAGATTCAGATCCGTGATTCTGCTAATTAGCCAAATGTCCAACATTTTATGTTAGGTTATGATACTCACTTCCATTATATAAATGTATAGGTATGTGATTTTTTCACGTTTACTGATTACCTATAGGTAAGAGTAGCACCACAAATAACTAGAGGTTTAAGATTTACAGAGTTAAAGCTGAACATTTGACTGAACTAAGTTGCAGAATAGAGACTGGACGTAGAGTTAAACATGATAAAGTGAAACTTTATTTACACGAATAAAAATGAGAAAACAAGTTCACAAGACGCCAGATCACGTTTCTATATATTCTTTTCTAGACTGAGAGAGCATGGCATTATATACACAGAAACGATAACGTTATTTTTCTCTCTCAAAGCACAAGCACCAAGCACTACTTGTGGCATATGATGTTACTAGAGAATTAAAAAATATCTTCAACATCGTCAGCATGAAACATCCAAAAATATTTAAGTGTGACACACTTCTTGACTGTATGTAATTAGACAACAAATAAGGTTAGTACTGTACAAACAAGGGCCTGGTGGTTAGAGAGCTCGACTCGTAATCAGAGAATCCCCATGCTCGTCCTATGTGGTTGCCGACTGGACCAGCCACCCGGATCTAAAAATTATTGGCTTACAAAAACACCAGCGGATACCTAATAGTTAACATTAAGGTCGTAAACAATGTACTAGATATTTCCTATATGTGGAAGTCTACACTGCGTTTTTCTTTATCTTTTTTTCTATCGAGCTTTGTTAAAATTATGATATTTTCTGCCGGCAGGGGGAGAAGAGAAAACATATGATAGATATTAAAATAGTGGGATAGTTGTAACTGGACTCGACAAGACAGCGAGAATGGTAAAGAAGATAAATTTGTTGTAGCTTTTAGTGGATTACTCATTTTTTACGAATGATAGATGATGCCTACTCTACTATATCACAGCAGCCATTCATTATCTCTTCCGACTTGACTGATCTGTAAGTTGCAAGAATATTTCAGGTAAATTGTTCATCTCTAATTGGTAAATTGTAATGTGTTATGCTTTGTGATTGTGTTTATTTATTCATAAGTTTGGCAGTAGTGGTAATTAGCAGTTAAGAGATTTTCCTTTCAAATTTATTCACTGATACAAAAATGTGGACATCGCCATATTTATTAATATTATTTCTTCTGAAGTCTGCGAGTAAGTGAGTTTTTAATTTCGCGCAAAGCTACACGAGGGCTATTTGCGCTAGCCGTCCCTAATTTAGCAGTGTAAGGCTAGAGGGAAGGCTACTCTTTTAGCAACGAATAGTGGGATTGACCGTCACATTATAACGCCGCCACGGCTGAAAGGACGAGCATGTTTGGTATGACGGGGATTCGAACCCGCGACCCGCAGATTGCGAGTCAAGCGCCCTAACCACCTGGCCATGCCGGGGCCCTAACCACCTGGCCTTGCCGGGCCTATTAATAAGTAAGAGATGGTAGAATATTTTGGTAAAAGAAGAGTTCAATAAAACAAATGATTGACCTCTGTCGGAAGAGGTAAGGATAAAAAAAACGTGCCCTTTAAACGCGTATATCTAATTATTTCTTTAAAATTTAGTAAACTCAACAATTTACCTTTATTATCTTAAAGAGAAAGGAAACTCCGATACCATACCTACAATAGCGCTGTTCTGCCAGTTGTTCAGTGTAAAGCAAACCAACAAAGTTTCCTGGTCATAGTAGTTTGGAACGTAACAGCGTGTGATGCCTTGACGGATATGTTATGTGTTTATATTAGATAGTTATTTTGTTTTAGGTGTTGCTGGGGTTCACTGGGTTTTAGACTATCATTGTCCAAACTTTCACTATATAAAACACATTGAGTAAAAGGTCGAAATATGAACTAATATTTTCGTGTTTTTTTTTTCTGCTTTTTTGCCGTGTTTGTGACTGCCTACTCCACTTTACAGATTTTGTCTCCTTCAACACTTTCCTTACTGCCATAACACAACAAGATGATTCGTCATACTAAACATCAACTCAATGATACACTACTGTATCCAATACCTTTATTTGCATGTTAATTTACTACCATTATAACACTGGAATGTCCTGATTTCTTGTTGTTGTTTTTGTTTGGATGAGTTGATCAATAAAATGGCTGTCTTCATAAACAAGAGTTTTAATAATTCTGTCAACAAACGGCTCTCGTCTTAAGACAAAGAAATACTTTGACTAATAAATCAGAATGCGAAAAAGCATATCTTGAACTTGAAAACTACTACTAATCAACTGTTGATTTTATCGCTAGATCGGTTTCATTTGAAACATCCCTGTAATACAATGGTAATAATTATATTAATTATAGTCGTCTTGTGCTTCCCCTTCATCGTGCCAAACTACTTGATAACCATGCTAAAACTTCTATTTGGTTAGTAAAGTTGTCTCATCTGAACTTTCGTTTCCTCGGTAAAAGGCCTGTTTGGCTATCTGATTCTAGCATAAACTCTAGAATACTATCCTTCTCGCTTCCAATCTCTCTCTCTCCCTATCTACAAATATGTATTTTTTAATTGTTTAAAAACTGACTGTAATAGCTTATTTGATATTTATTTCTTAGATCGTCATTAATGGGTTACGACTGAACATAGCCCCCCCCCCCTCTGTAAAAAATGAACCTCCTAGGACGGACTATTAAAATCAAAAACGGAAAACTTACCCTCTTCGTTCAGACACGCAACCTGAATCTTGGAGCTCATACAACTGGTGCTTTCTGTTTTACTTTCCTTGGTTTCCTGGAGATCAGCCACCAAGAATACTTTACAGAAATAAAATCAGTAATTGAAACAACAGCTGTAATTAATTTGAATTTTGGCATCATATTTCTATTACTTTTGAAAACAAAAATGTGATATATCTTCTAAGTACAGACTTCCGTATATGACTGTAGGATGAGACTAAAAAAAGTAAGTACGCTTAGTAAAAAATAAGATTACATAATACCTTTTTAAAATGCTAAATCAATTGTTTGATATATATATATAAAATAAAGGAATAGTAACTCACCATCTCCACAGAATTCAACTGGAGGAACTGAGATGTTGTCAAGTGTAACTTGAACAGAGTATTTTGATTCTGTAAAAAATAATTTTAATTCACGAATTTATTCTTAAACTGATGGATAAACTAGGAAAAATAAACTTAAGTGTTTATATGTATGCGATTAACTATCAGTTCTGGAGTACATTTATAAAAGCAACAACAAATATCCATATAGATTTGTAAATTTAAGTATTTAAAGTTACGATAAAATTATCCAGGCAGATGTATATAAAAAAAACAACTATAAACGTTGAAATAAATCAGTAAATGTGTAAAGTGAAAATTTGTTAACATTGCAAAATAATTTTACGATCGAAAAACTTTCAACAATTAAAGAGTTCAGAAATAAGTAATGAGAGCAGCCCATTTTATCCGTGACAAAATTAACTTATTCTAATTAATGATATCATTTGGTTAGCATTGAGACCTATAATGAAGAAGTAAACACATGAAGAAGTAAACACATAAGTTTTGATTGTTCAGCACTAGTGTTCTAATAAAATATAGACAGCTTTAAATGCTCAAACTAGGTTTTTTCTTTGTTAATACGTCTAATAGAAGACTTGAAGTATTATTACCAAACTGACTAGATTCAATAGGTATTGTTCCAAGTTTCGTAGCGTTGCTTCTGGGATTTGTTACGTCATCCAGGAGGGATAGATAGATGGCGATCTCATAATTGTTGTTGTCATTTGTAACAGAGGACGTGTTCGGACCGGCTATCATAGGCGTACCTACACTAACTATAAAGTTGCATATATCCTGTAAAGAAAGAATATCAACTTATATTGATATTAGTGAGGACTCTTAATAAAATGTTCAACCAGTATATCAAGAAACTAAGGGACGTTTCATTTAAAAAAAACACACACCAAATATACCTTACCAAAGAACCAGAGACAGTTTTATTCAATAAACACAGACTGTATCTTACCCAAACGTCTAGGAATAATTTTATTGAATAACCACCAGCTATACCTTACCAAGAAACCAGAGACAGTTTTATGTAGTAAGCACCAGCTATATCTTATCCACACGTAGTAGTAATAGTTTTTAATTACCCCATTTGTAATTACCCAAGTCGTTATGATCGATTCTATTCTATAACACCAGTTCAAGTATGTTTTACTGAATCAACCAAAAATGGTTTTATTTAAGAAAACTAACTATCTAATTCCCGAATAACGGAGAAGAAATATATTGCATAACAAGCAGCTGTATCTTAAAAATAAACATCAAGTGTTCAAGGTTTATGTCCTGTTTCAGTAAAATGTACTCCGCACTTTGGGTCCGTGGGTGTGTTATAAGAGGGACACTCAAATCTCACAATTCGATTAAATCAGCCCAAGTTTTGGCCATGTGTTCTATTGACTAGATGCCTTCCATCAAGTCTACCAGTTCAAAATTAGGGATATCTAGCTCAGATGTCCCTTGTGCAGCTTGCACGAATTTCCCAAACAACTAAGTACCCAAGTAATCTGGAAAGTCTTATTTTGCAAACATTATATGTTTTTTATCCAAGTAACAAGATATTTTTTTTAAATTCCATAACCAGTTTCTTCCCGGATGAACAAGGAATTTTTATTTTTCCCAAACGAGCAGAAATACATTTAACGCATAATTATATAACTATCAGTAGATACGTTAAGCAACTAATTAAAATTTGGAATAATAATAAAACGTAAACAACATAACATGTTCTAACCTTTAAGGGCGTTTTTTTTGTTGGTACTTTCCATGTCGGTAAACCCTCAGTTGGACAGTATACTGACTCCAGAAAATACATAGCTATAATAATAAATAAAGAAGTGTTGTATTATTGTAAAATGTTACGTATAGGTGACATTGTATTGACAGAGTACAGCCATCTGGTTTAAAAACACATACATATTTTAACTTATTCATGCACCACATTGCTTGTTGCTTCAAGACTTTTGTTACGCGATCCGTTATAAAACGAGTAACATAAACTATTTAAACACAAATATTGCAATTAATCCCATCAAATAAGTTGTAATCTAGTTAGAAAAATGAAATAGAATTGAATGAGGTACCACATAAAATAGCATTTGAGATGTTTAATTATTAAGATGATCACTCCAATACTCTTACATGGTCCTGAAATTTGAGGATATTCAGTTTTGGACTTAGTTCGGATTAAATTTGGATGTTACTAAGAATGCTGTAAATTATATTATTTTGGGAGATGTGGTAGTTGTATGTTACTAAGAGTGCTACAGATTATGTTGTTTCAGGGGGTGTGGTAGGTGGATGTTTCTAAGAGTTTGGTTGAATGTGGTAGGTGGATGTCACTAAGAGTGCTGTAAATTATGCTA